CGGCACAACCTGTCCTCAGCCATAACCTGTCCCCAGACGCAACTCGTCCCCGGCACAACCTGTCCCCAGACACAACTCGTCCCCGGCACAACCTGTCCTCAGCACAACCTGTCCTCAGCACAACCTGCCCCACCAAGATATTGTACTAGCTTTCTGTCACGGAGGACATTTCTCCTTTACACCTTTCTCTCAGCAGCATGACCAGTGATTAATTAGGACAGACCAACACATCTGTCTACAGCCTACATGTACTCTAGAACAATGTTTTCCGAGCTTACTTGAAAGGCCGATCCTCCCTGGATTGAATTACGGAACTTCTTTAGACCCCATGGTTTGTGACGACAATCTTCGAAATCTTCTACTGTTAAATTTCAACACTACGAACGCCACCATAGCTGATAGCTGCTCGGGGCACCAACAATCCTAGCCCTGAAGGAGAGAGTTGTTTGTGTTTGTGTGACGAAAGCTTCTAGATCGGAAGGGAAAAATGAACGGTTTCTCACAAGGATGAATGACTACCGATTGAAAGAACAGTATAGTGAGGTATGGGGAAGGAAGCTGAGGCGCTAAGTCTGCCATTGTCTACAATTTTCAAATTACGAGGTTGAATTTCTCTCGCAATCTGATATACCTAACTCCAGCCCTTTTATTGCGCAACCTGAGATGGATTATCTCTTAAAGCCACATACTGTAGCACTGTTTTTGGTACCAACACTTGAAAATTCTTACTTGTTTTTATCGCTATCTAAAGATCCATTTCGAGACTCTATTCTAGCTTAGTGGATATAGAACGAATATGTAACGATCGCTGCCCTCCTTCTTGAGCTCACCGTTTCTATTGTCTAAACATCAAACGGGGACTTTCAAACCAGAGAATCTTTTTAATTACAGGATTCTGCACTGCATAGCCACCTTGCAGCTCATCCCTTGGTCACCCTTCAGCCTGTCTATACCCCTATCCATAATTCTTCAACCTGAATATGATCTTTATTTAATGCTATTCGAGAAGCAGATAGTATTTGATAGGTTAGATCAATTAACAACTACTCTTGGTGGACTTAACATAGCGAAACGAGTGCACATTGGTCGATCCTCCGCTCCTCTCACCTTTCTTTTGATTTCTCTAGTCCTTTCCTTGCATCCAGGGCTTGCTGAATTCCTCATTTCCTATCGTCGGCATTCCCCGCTTGAACTCTTCCTTGTGTCATTCTATCTCACTAGCTCTAGAATTGGCCCTACTTTGATCCCTTGATGGTTGTCTTCAATAGCGCATCGAGTTCTTTAAATACTTTGGCAGCTTCCACCTTCTGTCCACCCAGGCGGGCTTTCTTGGAAGAACTCCCTGTTTGTCCGTCTAGAAATAGTTAGCGTAGCGCTGTGGGCGATCCAGCCGCAAACTTACCGTCACTAAAGTCTTCCATCATATTTCGAGTACGCTTTTTGGTCGTGTTCATTCGCACCTTTTTCGAAGGCTTTGAATTATCCTCGCCTAGAGCGAAATTAGTTTTGAGAACGCAGGCTCACCAAACTGTCCCTACCTTCACTGTCGGTGTCATTCCTTCGTGCACGTTTCTTGCTGACCGCCACGTCTGGGGTTTTCGAGGTCAGGGCTGCACCGCCGCCTGAGAGTAATCAGCTTCCGAGCATGGATGATCGCGGTGAGCACTTGCTGTCGCTGTCACTGTCGCTGATTGTAATCACCTCATCTCGGGGACGCTTCGAGGCATGCTTGCCTTGGAGTTCACGGCAATACTGTACCAAGGCAAGTCCGTAGACCACGGCATCCACGAGCATATCCTCGCATTCTTCAAAGTCGAAATTATCATTGTGAAGCGTACGAGAGAATTTTTTGAATTCCCGACCACAATTCTCGACGTCCTCCGCTGTTGAAATTTCAATCTTACCCATGGCTCGTAGTTGATTGATCTAATGCACAGAAGGGGAGAAAATTAATCTTCCAGAAGAGTTCTAGAGAGACTGGTTTGAGTTGGAATCTGACGAGTGGCCAAGATTCTGCATCGTTTACTCGCACTCTTATATTCTCACAGTCTCTGTGTAGGTACCACTTTGGAGCCGGAAGAGGTATCCAGCAGGGGCCTGAATTGGCATCTGCACCAGATTGTCGAGATGGTCCCGTAGAGGAGAAGTCAGGAAGGGAGAGTCATGGGTGGCAATGGTACTTCGAGGCTTTCGGTCAGTCCAGCTGCCTTGAGCTGCACTTCCATGCTAGAGGCTCTTCTATGAACTATTAACCTACTACCATGTTCAATATTTCCAACCAGTGACAAACTCTCGCTCTTCGTTTCCCAATTTCTACATCTTTTGGTCAGCATCGGACGATTCATGCCGGGTTTTATGATACGATGTAGCTAGCACCTTTCCTGTTTCATCTTCTCTAGGAAGCTCATATAGACACAGATTTAGACCATTTCATCATCAGCCAATTTTCAAATATTCTTCTGCGCTCTGCTTCGCAGGAAGGTTACAGGACATGAAGACTCACTGAAGGATGTGTGACGAGTGGCCGAAGCCGCCATTTGGAGTGGCTGTGGGCATCTCGTCCTCCTTCCACCTATATATTTTACTTGTTTACAACTTCTTGGAGGGTTCTCGAAAGGAGTCAGATTGCGCGTAACGAAATTATATTGCCAGAATCTACTTAACGTTTACTGCCGTCGTGAGCGTTGGCACATTCAGCCTCCCTCGAACTCGAGTCACCTTTCCGCCACAGGCTTCTCCTCTTCTGCATTTAACCACAAGAACCGGAGACGATAATTTTCGGGGCAGTAAGGTCTAAATATCCCTTATCATTGGCCGTAGTTGTGATTTCGAACCCATCGATGCCCATGAATGTGCATGGTACTGTTCCTGATGTGACACCAACCTGAGAGACACTAATATTGTTGCAGTCGCTAATGGAGTACAGTACGAAGGACGTGCGAGACATTCGATAGAGCCCATCTCGTGGGAGCTCAAAGCCAAGTGTCTGCGTACCAGCGGTAAATACGACATTCGCCTGCCAGGCTTCACTCCTCCGCTGAGACCCCAGCCCTGTTTCGGTGTTATTCGACGTCAACTCGTGGAGGTTGTGGAAGGGTGGGATAGCTTCTCCCACGGACATTTGTTGCAACCAAAGAAGAGCCACGACAGTCTTGCTAATCGAGTTGGAGAACATCATGTTACAGTACAGTAATAGGAGAAGAAGTTTTCAAAGAGAAGGGATCCGTAGGAGAAGGGCTCGGGAGAGACACGAGGACTTCCGGTTTAGACGAAACTCTTGCTAACAAAAGATGAATGATGATTTACATGGGGGTTCAGACATCAGAGTTAAGATGCTCACCTTTAATGTAAACAGTCGACTGGACATAAAAGGGCTCTTGGAGCTCGATTCGGCCCCAGTAGTCCAAAAGGGACGAGAAAGGCTAATGTCACACGAGGGAGCCAGATCAGAATTCTTTGTCTAAATAAATACCCATCAGACAAATTGCGTTGCATCCTGCATCGAGTGTCCCCTCATGGCGAGGACAAAACAGACCGCACGTAAGCTAGTCCTTCATCTATTTTCCTTCATTCATGTTAAGGATGACATACAGGAAAGAGCACTGGGGGTGTCGCCCCAAAGACGAGCTTGAGAAGCCTTGCAAAAGGTCAGTTCTCAGGAAAGCGGCCGCCTACTAGCACGGGCCGCGTAAAGAGACCGCATCGATATAAACCAGGTAGGATTTTCCTGTTCTCCTTCATTGTCTTGTGTTTGAGTAAGTGAAATTGTGATTGACGGTGACTAGGAACGGTTGCTCTAAGAGAGATTCGCCGCTACCAGAAATCTACAGAATTACTCATTCGCAAGCGTCCATTTCAACGGCTCGTCCGTGAAATTACGGAAGACCTGAGAAGTTCTCATATGAAATGGCAAGGGGGCGGTTATCGGTTCCAGTCGACGGCGATCGAAGCTCTGCAAGAAGCACTCGAAATATATCTTGTGAGCCTGTTCGAAGATGCTAATCACTGCGCGCTCCACGCGAAACGAGTCACTCTTCGTGAGTCAGTTTCTGCTTCCTGCGAGAGAGGACTTCGGCTAATGTATTTAGAGTCAAAAGACATCCAGCTCGCAAGACGTTTGCGTGGAGAAAGACACCTTTGGTAGTTATAGATGCAAACAGCTGTTGGTGAGATGTCTTCACTTGTTTCAGAGGCTTATCCAGTGCGTATATGATGGCAGCTTAAGAACAACGATATGTGGGCTAATGGGGTGGTTTCCCTGAAACCCTACAAAAGACTTCAACTAGGTAGAGATTTGTATTCAAGATTATAGGTGATGACTTTTTGCTGTACGTGATCGGAGCTCAGGATCTGAAGGCCGAGTCTGGCTTGTTCTCCCCCGAATAGTTAAGCTGTCGCGAGCATTTCGACGTTCTATATGGCGAGATAATGTAGATCTCAACTTTTCGAAATATGTCACAGTCCAAAGGTAGGCCCATTTCTCCACCCAGTATCGCTTTTAGATAATGAAGATTCCGAGCCCATTATGCCAGTCGTGATGGCACGTCTGTTCCACGCTCATTACCCATCTGAGCATCGTGGTCCTTCTTGACTTGATACAATAACCAATTATTATAGACCAGAAATAAAATCAAGCTTATTCCTGCACACGCACTCGTTATTGTAACCGTGATGGTCGCAGTCACGGACCAGTTCCCGTCCTTAGCGGTATACACATTGATCAGTGTATTGACGAGGCCGAGAATGGCATTGAGCAGAGTTGGCCTGACATCACAAGGTCAGTGTCCGCTTTCAGCTGCTCGCTAGGTAGTCTTTACAAGAATATTCGATTTACCAACCAAATGTAGTTTCTGTTCCATTTTTTCCAGAGCAAAGCGATGCCAACGACTCCAAAGAGACAGCAAGCTCCTGCTATCCAGAGGAGCGAGGCATTTTGAACGGTGTCTATAATAATTTTCCCTGCACGAGTCTTATTTGCCGCTTCTTGCACCGAATTGGAGGTTTTGAGAGAGGTAAACGTGCCCGGGAATACAATGTATCCAGCCAGGATCAACCACGTAAATAAGCTGGCATAGAAGTTCTGGCGACGTGGAATCTTATCAAGCTCTAAGAGCATCGCCACATATCGAGACTGTGCGCGTGGCGGATTCGTCGAAAGTGGCCTAGGGAGACGAGACTCGTTTCTCAGATACGAAGGCTGTGGGAGAGGAGCCTGGGGCAGCTTGGACTCTGGACGAGACGGTTGTTTCCTCAGCTTTGGGGGGAGAATGGTCACATATCGTTTTTGAGAATATGTTGCTTGCTGTATATGCGCTTCGGATACTGGAGTCCTTTTCACCTCAGCAGCGTGTGCGGAAGACGGAGAATTCTTGGCAAATTCCATGAGCGGCAGGGATCGTGATGAAAAGCTCATTATTTCTTTGACATTATCTTCCTTAGATAGACATTGAAGTTGAGCAAAGTACTATATACTTGCAGTTTCTCCAAGGCTTAATGTGAAAAGAGGGTCTATACACGGCTCCTGGTTTCGGATTTGGTTCTCACTACTCATTAAGAGCCGTTTACAGACTCCACCTTCAATTTAATCGGGTGACGAAATGGGCCCTAACAACAGTTGGATCTGACATTTTAAACCGTGAACAGCTGCTGCAACACACACACACACACACACACACACACACACACACACACACACACACACACACACACACACAAAATTTATTACGCCCGGCGACAATGCCGAAAAAGCCAGTTAAAGCTAATCTACTAATACGTTTCTCAAGATATGCCCTAGTCTCCTTGAAGCCTATACAATATCAAATCTTGTCTTCATTATGCAGTTTCTCTCGTTTACTTTATCTTTGCGAAGTGTTGTGTACTGTAGTAAAAAAATCCAAGTTGCAAATGAACT